TCCACAGAGCTTGGTGACAGGATCAGAGCAGGCAAAGCAGGAAAAAGGCTGAGGGTCTGCTTTCTCCCCAGGCTCCAAGGGCCTCCTGGCCTGGCTCCATCGACACATACACAGCAAAGACTTTCAGAGCTTCAGAGAGAGAGGCTCCAAGGGGTAAAAAGCCAAGCACTGGACTGGAAGGAGGCTGGAGCGCCCAAACCTCATGTGTCACTGGCTGGTGTGACCTCAGGCAAGGCCCTGACCCTCTCTGGGCCTTATTTCCCTGTCCCTAAGACAAGGGAGCACTCTTCATTTTGGTATTCTGTGCAGAACTGAGGCTATTCTGGCCCCGAAACCGTCGCCCACTTCATGCTTGCAGCACAGCATCTCACCAGGCGAGGACAGGGATGCAGGGCAGGAGGGAACTGGAGGCATGGGGTGAGAAGAGGGCTGTGGAAGTGCATGCATATCTCTGCTAGCAGGGTGCTCACTATCTCCCAAGGCCATGTCCGTCTGGGCGGTAGAAGGGCAGTTCTGCCCATTGGAAAGTTCTTCCTTACGTTGAGCTGAAACCCACCTCCTTGTTACTCTACACGTTTGGTCCTGCTCTGCCCTCCAGGGCCACACAGAGCAGCCTTGTCTCATCTCTGGGGCCACATGATGTCCCTGCAGAGATGAGGGGAGAGGACACACCCCTGAGGGGTCTTTTCTCCCTGCTAAATTCCCCCAGCTTCTCAGCCCTCTCTCACTTAATTTGGCTTCCAGACCTTGGCCACCCTGCCTAGGCCCCCTCTTCTAGACATTCTATAGGTTTTTAATATTCCTTTTAGTACCCAGGCATCCAAAAGTTGGAGGCAAGTTGAGCAGGCCTAAGAAGAGTAGGTCCACCAACCTCCCTGGGGCTGACATGCTCCATCAAAATATACACCTCAAAGCCTTTGCCTGTGCTGTTCCCACTCTGAGGAACACTATTCCACCCTCTTCCCTCTGACTGACTCTTATTCAGCTTCCAGCTCCCCAGTGTCACCTCCTCAGGGGAGCCTTCCCTGATACCTCCCTCATTCCAACTAGTTGAGGTCTCTTTGCAGCTCATAGCCCCATGTTTGTGCTCAGAGCCCTTAACCAGCTGCATTTAAATAATAATATCTGAAGTGATTTAATTAATGTCAGATTCTCACTAATCCATAAGCCCCAAAGGGGCAGAGATGACATAAGTCTGGCATGTGGTATCTGCTGGGCTCAGCCTGGGGCTGGGAACAGAGTCTGTTGTCAGGAAATACTTGTTGAGTGGATGCAAGAGTCACAGAAGTGTTCCTCCTTTTATGTGATGCCAAGACACCAAGGCTGTCAGCGTTTTCCAGCACAGAAAGTCCCACCGGCCTTACAGGCCCACCTGACGCCTTGGTGGGCAGCTAAGCCCCACGAGGACCTAGATCTAGTGCCTGGGCTGGATGTCAGCAGGCTGTGATATGCTTGGGGGGCTGCATCAGGCTGGCCTGGGGAGGGAGGCTTCCTACTGTGCCAGAGAGAGGCTCAGAAGAGACCGTGACACGGGCAACATGCATGCAGGAGGGGTGGACTGTGGCCAAGGGACCAGCACAAAAAAGAGGGAAGGGGAGAGAAAGAAACAGAGACCAGAGAGACACAGGGAAGGACGAGAGGCAAGGGCAGAGAGAGAGAGAAAGAGAGAGAGAGAGAGAGAGAGAGACAGCCCAGAAGCCTAGCCAGCATCATCTTGCTCTCCATGCACTGGGAGGTAAGACTCTTGCTCGATGCCCTGTTGGAGCCAGTGTGTTTGTGTACTTGCACGTCCACATGCACCCATGTGTGTGTGTGTGTGTGTGTGTGTGTGTGTGTGTGTGTGTGTGTGTGTGTGTGTGTGTGTTCGTGCACTAGCAACAGGATGCAGGCGCTGCATTCCAAGGCTCTGCCATCACCCCACTGAGAGGACCGGGGCCCAAGACTGCAGGGGTGCTGGCAGCAGTCACCGCGCGCTTGTGCAGGGAGGCAGGCAGGCGGGAGGGAAGCTCGGCAGTGTCAGTGTGTCTCAGGCTGTGTGGAGGCGGAGGCCTGCGGCATGCACCAGAACATGTGCGTGCCTTCCGCTCTGCTGGCTCGGAGGAGGAGGGAGGAAAGGCTGTCCCCTTCCCACCTGCCCCCCAACTTCCCATCCTTGGCCTCTGGCCCCTGCACACCATCTGGTCCCCTACCAGACCCTGCTTCTGCCTCTCCCTGTGGCCTTGGGCAAACCACCTCTCCCTGGGCGTTGGCTCCACCGTTGATGCTTGTGAGAGACAGTGTCTATGGTCCTCCCAGCTCTGGTGTTCTGGAAGCCCGAAATTCTTCAAGGGTGCCTTCCACAGACGGAGGCTAAAGAGGGTAGCAGCTCTAACGGCACATTTCAGCATCTGCAGAAGTGTTCTGATCCCCATTTCACAGATGGTAAAGCTGAGGTACACCAAGGACAAGGAATCCACCCAGGGTGGTGCCTCAAATTAGAAGGAGAATCATGATTGGACATATATAAGTGACAGTTCAGAGTTCCCTCATCCACAAGGCCACACCCCTCTTCCCTGGAAGTGTTCCCCAGACAGGGCACCAGAAGCGACCCCTCTCATCAACCCTCCCCCCACACGCAGGGTGCTGGAGACCCAAACCCAAGCCTGAGAGCTGCCACCAGTCTGCTGAACTGGTCATTCCACCTTCTTAAGCCTCAGTCTCCTCATCTGTAAGATGGGCGAGTAAGTTCTCTGCCTCCCTCAGAGCTAATGGGTGGAGAAGTGTCACACTGGCCCCAAAATGCTGTGAAGGTGAGAGGTTATTAGAAGCAAAATAAAAGCACAATACCGGTCTTTGGTGGGGGGAGTACATCGATGCCCATGTATTTTCTCCCTCTCCAATATTACACCATCGATCCTCCTAACAGCTCTGCCAGGGAAGGGCGGGATTGCTAAACACATTTTGCAGATGTTAGAGCTTGTGTCCCAAGAGAGAACCTAAGCACCCAGGACCCTGGACTCGCCCCCACCGACCCCCGCCCAGCACAGGGAGCTGCCTCTGGTCCCCAGTGTCCCCCACGGATCATCCCAGCCTAAGCCCCATTCATGATACAAAGCCATGGAGGTAAGCGGGGTTGGGGGGGCTCTGGAGGTAGCTCTCCCCACTCCTTGGGGCAAACTTGCTGGCGCCTGCAGCCCCTCCCCAGCCCCAACACCGCCCTTAAGTCAGTTTCAGGCCCCTGTTTCTAGAGAGGAAAGAGTGGGTTGCAAGCTCTCCAGCCTCCCTCCCTCCTCCCGCACCCCTTTCTCAAGTGAAATCCCCTCCTGAGCCTCTTTCTGTGCAGCCCATTGATTACACGGGCTGCAGCGTAATTCTGCCTCTCTAACTAACCTCTCCTGGGAGTGGGATCCAAAGCCCAGAGCGTGTCAAAGGCTGGTGGAGGCATCCTCCTTCTCCACCTCTTGGAACCCAACCCCTTCCCCTGATCTTGGTCTTGGAGAAGGCTGGGTCTGCGGGGGAGCTCTGGTCCCACTGCCCGGGCCCACTCTGACCCTGCAGCTGGCGTCGCTGCAGCCTGCCTTTTGCCTCCAAACAGGCATCTGTGCTCCTAAGGTCTGGGCTTCCATTTCTCTCTCCCATGGGAGGAAGGAGGATTGGGGTCAAGGGAGGAGGGAGTGAGCTAGTCTCCGGGTCCCAAGAGACAGCCCCACCTCAACCCTCTAGGGAAACTGGAATCAAGTTCCTGGCTTACGTGAATCATACGCTGCAGTGCGACCTTCGTCTAGTGGCATCGAGAGGCCCCAGGGCCCTGATTCCAGCTCACGCCCCCTCAACTGGCTGCCCACCAGGCGGGGGAGGGACTGCCAGCCCTCCCACGAGCTGTTCAAAGGCCTGCAGGCAGGAGCCAGGCCTCACTGGGCAGGGTGCCAGGAAGCCCTCGAGAGGCACGTGTCCTCCTCTCCAGCTGGGCAGCCAGGGCCCTTCAGAAGGAGGTCCAAAGACCCCCACGTCCCCTTGGAGGGCCAGCCCAGCTGCCTCAGGCAGTCACCGTGCCAGTGATCTGACATGGGCTCCCAGAATGGGGGCTCGGTTTCTGGGTGGTAACAGCAGTGTCCCGACTGACAGGGACCTTGGGTCACCGATTGAAGGATGGGCCCTGCAGGCACCTTCGCTGCTTATCCCCACAGAACAGGAG